ATTGTTTGTTTGCTCCTCCAGCATTTTGATAATTAAGTACACTGCAGAAACCAAAAGAATAGCTAATTGTGATTATTGTGTTTTTGATTCAAGCGGCACCAAGGACCGTTCTGCGTCAGCATGGCTCATGGGTCCTGGAAGATATACAGCAGGGCCTTGGACACTCTACTCGAACCAGCCTGGCTAGCGCGCCAGCTTCTTGGGTCCACTGTGGAACAAAATGTGATGCCTGGTAGTCGGCAGATCCTCTAATTCAGAGGTGAAGTTTAAGATGATAGAGTTGGTAAAATTGATATTTTATGTATTTTTTATGCACTTTGCCAAACTTTTCTTCTTGTCTAATTCTTTAGTTTTGCTAAACAATTGTCCTGCTTTTTTGTTGCCTTTGTTTTAAGATATAGTCTGTACTTTCAATGTAACTGTAGTGCTTTCTTAAAAATACGCTCTCAATAGATTAACACATTTGTTCACTTTGTTGACAAGCGAGCACGATGGTGCATACGACACTAGTCATATAAGTTGCTGTTGCTCCAATTGGATCGTAATTTGGTGGATTGGCACTTTTGTGAGGTTGGGGTTGAATCCTCTCTGCCCTATTCACATATATATAAAATCGCCTATAATGACTTTTGAAAACAATTTTTGGTCCTCTTTTTTATAGGTATTAGTATGTAATATATATTGCAGCGCTACTAACTGGGAACAACACGACAAAATAATTTAACTGTAGAATGAAAATTGATACAGTACAAAAAACAATTTCTTCAATACTAAGAGTAAATGAAGGAAATTTGAACTTAATATTGAAGCGACTTTTTTTTTTAACAAGGTCGATTTTGTCACTGAATTGGAACTTTTAAAAAGCCAAATACAATAAAAACCCATTGAATCCCCTGAGAAATTAACATACCGCTGTTGGCAGACGTGCTAACATGTTGTCCACATGCTCTCGCCTTATTCGGGGCCGGCCTAGACGTTCGCGAACCGTTTCCGACATGCGTCCTGCGCTGAGTTAAGTATGAAGGTTTCGCCTTGGGGTTCCCTTTTTAACAATTGGTTTAGACCCGTTTCTTGAATGGAACACAGAGTGAAGCTGTTAATTGAATTAAACTTTTTTTTTCCAACCCATCCATTTCAGTAAATTTTTCAAAACCACTCCCGGAGAAAAAACTACAGTGGCCCCCTACAGTCCGAAACTTTCCCTATTCGCCTTTAAAGTGACAACCAGAAACAGAGAGTATTGTGCAGAACCCCAAGGTGGCCACAGCATGGACCTATTCGCACACCATAGTTACGGCAATGGCCTTCCCATTTGGGGTCCTTTACAGTGTTTGGATTGTCTGTTTTGACCAAAAGACTCAAATATAATAAATCCATTGTAATAGCAGCCTTTGGGGTCGAACCAACATTGGGGGCAAAGTGGTTATACATGCAGATTCCATATAAGGGTAGGTTCAGGACACCGCTCACAAACCAACCTCCTGTTCGATAAGAAGCCGCTCAGCTAAAAAGTAAACTCCAGCATGCTGAAAGGGAGAAAGAACTTACCCGCGCGTTGATGGAGCTCGCGAGTCTTCTCGCTCTCGCCGCCCACTGTGAGGGGGCCTGCTCCAGGCCTCCAGCGTGCAGAATGAACACTACGGTTTCTCCCTGCCTCATCAAGAGCCCAGTATCCACGAACAAAGCTCTGGCGGAGACATGAGACATAGCAGTAAGGAGAACTACAGCCAACTGGGCTAAATAACAATCCAGGCAAGCAGACGCATAGTGCTATGCACCGCTCGGGGGGACCACCGAGCTCAACGGGCCAGCTCTTTTGGGGTGCCCTTCCCCGGGTCTGCCAGACGGTTAGTACCGCTAGCCCAACCCAATGCTCCAAAGGAAAGGAAAGTGGTGGTGGTGAACTGGAGACAGGGTCATGGGCGGCCAAGGCTCACTGATGCACGTAGGGAGTGAAGGCTGGCCCGTGTGGTCCGATCCAACAGACGAGCTCCTGTAGCTCAAACTGTTAAATTAATGCTGGTTCTGATAGAAAGGTGTCAGAACACACAGTGCATCACCAGGCTGCCCAGGTGGTCAGAATGTTATGGCTGATCGGTGTAGTGTTTCATTTAAAAATAAGGTATATTTAATACAAGAGCCCCAAGAGCTTGCGATATCTAAAATAAAAATTATTGATTTAGTAAAAATAAAGTGACACTTTAAGTGCAGTCAAAAACTTGTTACTGCTCTGATAATGAGGAAAATCTGGGAGAAAAGGAGAGTAGTCCTTAGCTGTGATCCATATAAGGATTTTCATAAAGAAATATGAAAATAAACCCATTAATGCAGTAGTAAAGAAGATGTTGACGGTTTTCCAACCATGACATTTCACTCCCAGTGCAGCAACCTGAAGTTATAAAGGCTTTATTGATCTTCATCTAGAGACACTTAAAATTTCCCACACATTACTGAGAAAGAGATTTGTCAATACATTACATTCCTCTTTATCTCTAAACCTCAGACATATCCAGTAATCACCTCAACAACATGGATTACTTACTTACTTAAGTCTTCCATACACCAGTAAATCAAATTTCACAGCTAATGATGATTTTCATTTTTGATGAATCAATCGTTTATTTTTTGAGTGATTCATTATTTAGTTTATTAAATTTTGACAACTATGAAAAATGCCCTGTAATAAAGCAGGGACTTGAAATTGTTGCTGTTTTTTTTTTTTGTTCATCAACTAATTGATTAATCATCTCAGTGTCTACTTCAGTTACAGGAGCATGGTGCCACCTGTTCCAGGACTATGGCCACGCCACATGTATAGTAACAGTACATTTTCTTAGTACATTAGCTGCACCTCACGCATCCTCACCAGCATGGTGGTCTATATCTTACCTTAAAGGGGCACTTCAAGTATCTCATAAATAATTAGAAGGGTACTCAGAGAGCGACATCCTCTGCCAAGGTGGTTTAGAATTAACTGCATAATTTTCTTACCACTCAAAGTGCTTTACACTACATGTCACACACATTCACCCACTCACACACATTCATGCACAGGCTCATCAGTACTAACTTACTAAGTATCTTGCCCACAAATGACACCTGGTTTGTATCTTGCCCAAGTACACTTTGACATGGGGACTAGAAGGAGCCTGGGATCGGACCGCCAATCTTCTATTGATTTTGTTTCTATAGTGATGTTGACCAAGCAATCAATTGACTTCATAATTTCAGCTCCACTGGCCAATGAAGACTTTCACTTTCCCTCATATCCAGTCCACTCCCAGTGGTGTCTTATTCATTCACTGCTGTATTAATACTGGAATTCCAACGTATAAAACTGGACACAATACCTGTGTACCTGAAGACTTTGTAGCGAGAAAGAAAAGATGAGCTTACAGTAGCATATTTTTTGGCTACTGCTGCCCCCTGCTGTGCCGAGGAGATTAAAGCATCAGGCATTGATGAATAGTTATTCCTTCACATCAGAAATACAATGTACATCTTCAGAACTGCAATATTTAATGATGGCCTTCCTCAATAAGAATCAACTGTTTCCTTTGTAAGATCTGACCTCAGATGCTAAATTGGGTAGATACTTCCCTCTACTGGACATTTACAGCACACTACACCTGAAACCTCTAACAATCATTATACAGCAAATGTATGAAATCATCTAATTAAACACTCATATTGGAAGTCCAGTCTCCAAACGTATAGTTCCTATATAGAAGAGTGTGATGTAAGATGGTGGGGAAAAAAGGGCGACTATCAAGACTGGTTTAGAACTCCTACCCTGGAGGCAGAGCGGGTCGTCTACTAACGAAGTTGTTGGTTCGATCCCGGCTCCCCTGACACGTGTGATTGTTCGATGCTGCATGGAATTGTTGTGCATCACTGAGTGAATGTGTGTGGAAAGGGTGAATTGGGCACGTAGTGTAAAAACGCTTTGAGTGGTCGGAAGCTGAAAGGCACCATACAAGTACAGGTCCATTTACCATTTACCATTTACCTTTGTTATAAATGCCTGTACATTCAATGTTAAATCTGCCACCACTGCCATACTGTAAACTGCATGTGCATATTTACACAGTTTTGGAAGTGAGAGAAAAAGGAGAGAGTGCAGAGAAGAAGCAGTTCTCAGCAATGTAATCTGTAAATGTTTAATTGTTTAAAATTGTCTCAAAATGCCATATTTGTCAGGCTCTTTCAGTCTTTCAAAATGCAAATCCATGTGACTTTTTCAAAGAAATCTATAAAAAATGCCCCCGTATAAGTCACAAAACCCAATTACTGATCTCAATAGTCTTATTTTTTATTTTATTTTTTTAAATATTTTTTTCGGCTTTTATGCTTTATTTGGTAGCAGCTGGAGACAGACAGGAAAGGGGGCAGGAAGGGATGACACGCGCAAAGGGCGCAGGTCGGATTCGAACCCATCAAAGACTCACCCATAGTCTTAGTCTTAATCTGAGATTAAGTTTCCTCATCATCTCCACCATAGTGGATCGTGCCTTTTACATGCATCTTCAAACCTACGCATCTACCTGCCATCATATTGGAGTAGCCCATGTTATCACCAGCCTCCTTTCTAAGACGACAACTCCCTTTTCAAAGTGGCATGTTTATATTTTATGGCCAAAGAATCAAATAATTAGCCAGGCTCGCTTGAGAGAGAGAGGCCTTTTTCATTATATTGGGGCGGCTGTGGCTCAGAGGAAGAGCGGTGTCTACTAACGAAGGTTGTTGCATCTTGAGCAAGATCTGACCGAATTGCTCCGATGCTGTGCATGGTGTGTGAATTGTGAGATGGTTAGTTTATGTTTGATGGACTTTGCCATCACTGAGTGAATGTGTGTGAAGGTGAATTGGCAC